ACTCCTGCTCTCCCTCGTACTGTTGCCGAGCATGCAAGCGCCCCGTGTGCTCCTCCTTCTTGAATGATGATTTTTGTATGAATTAATACTGTCTAATATTTGATTTTCAGTTTCGCTAAAGCCTGCCTGCTTTGCTGGTTGGATACTTCAATTGCCAATTCCCCGTGCCAAGGCCAGCTGATCCACAACTCTTGAAACCTCACCCCAATGGTTCACTCCAGTTGACAGCGACGTGAGGGATTCTCCACTCTGTACTCCATGTTGAGGAAGCGCCAACACCCCTTCCTGTTCGTTTCCTGAACTCTTCATAACATGGAATGCTGGTGGAATTTTGTTTACATGATCATCATGGCAGTTCGTGGGCGGCGTTCTTCTCCATCTGACGGCGCCAGTCGATGGCGGCCTGAATGGCGAGCGCGTTGGTGAGGCATAGGTGGTCGGAACCCAGCTTGGCCACCAGGCCCGACCGCTCGAACCGCACCCGCAGGTCGGTATTCAGCCGCACCAGGAACAGCCCAATCGACCTCGCGTGGAACTCTTCCACCAAGGACTCCACGGCCAGCTGCGAACTGCACACGGCACACAACACGCACCATACATAGGTTGATGAGCGCCAGGCCAGGAAGAATCAATCATTTCCATAGGTACCTGACGTCCATGTTCTCCACCCACTTCATGTTGATGATGACGCAGAGCGTGGGCTCAGAGTTCGACTCGTCTCCGCGCTGCATGTTCCGAGCGTCCATCAGGGCCTCTTCCACCTGACGTGTCAGCAGCGCCTGCGTCTGGCCGATGTTGGCGTAGTAGAGGTAGTTCTCCTCGAGCCGCACCAGCAGCACGCCGTCGATGGGCTGGCCCTGGTCGCTCTCCTCCTTGCTCCTGCAATGGACTCTTCAGAACTGGAACAGAAGAGGAGAGTGGAGGCAGCACTGAGTGCACTTACTTGAACTTGCCCGTGGGCGTTCGCAGGAGCACGGCGAGGCGCGGCAGGGTGGTTCGCTTGACGACCATGAAGATGGAGATGCCGATGGCGATGATGATGCCTTTCTCGATGCCCAGCAGGAAGGTCAGGATGCCCACGATCACCATGATAGACGCATCGTTCCACGCCCGCACCTTGAACATGTAGATAATCTCTGTGCACACTCTGGGTTAGGCCTTTTCTTCAAAGCGGAGCCAGACCATGGCGCGGCGTACCGTGTTCTTCGATGAGAAGCAGGGAAGCACGGAAGATCACCGCAGCCATGATCACCCGCGGCATGTAGGCGAACGTGGGTATGAGGAACTGAATGCAGATGCCCAGCACGAGCGCGGTGAAGAGCCCGGCTAGTGGTGTCTTGGCGCCAGTGGCGTTGGCCACTCCCGAGCGAGGCAGCGAGCCAAACGTGGGAAAGCTCTGCGCGTTGAAGAAGAAGAAGAAGCCGTTGAGCTTGTGTACATCTGGCGAAGGGAAGGCGATGTATGTACCCGGAAGAAGGAGGCCACGATGTTGGAGGCGCCGAGGGCCAGCAATTCGCGGTTGGAGGAGACCTGGTAGTGGTGCTTGGCCGAGAACTCCTTTGCCACGACAACCGATTCAACGAAGCCCACAATGGAGATCACCACCGCGGCGTCGATTAGGTGCGCAGTCTGGTGCAGGCTCATCGAGAACACACCCGGCAGGTGGGGCAAGCCGAACCCTCCCGCTGAACGTTGGAAAACAACAAAGCTGACGTCAGGAAATAGTGGCCACTGCGCGGTGTTGGCAGGTGTGCGCGTA